GGGAACCATTTGCTCCTGATAGCTGAGACTTTAGTCCCTGCAACTGGAGAGTAAGACATGTCCTCTTTGAGTTGTTGGATTTCTTGGGATAGTTCCTCCACGGCTTTGACGATGGAGGAAGAGAGACTTTCTTCATATTGCTGGAGTTGGCGTATCAGTTCATCCACAGTTGGTGCCTCTTTGTCTCTCCAGTCCATTACTGCTATTACACTGGTATGTGATGATGGCGCACTCTGTACAAACTTCCACCACATGGGACAGGTGCATTGGACTTTATCTGGGTCTGTGGGTAGCTGCATGACGCGGAAGTCTCAGACACAACATATACAATCAATGTGATCTAGTTAATGCCACTTTATTAAAGGATACACAGCAATTTATACACTAGCAATTTATACACAGCAATTTATACACTAGCACAAAGTGCATGAGTTACGTTTTGGTTGCTAATAGGTTAAAGCTGCTTGTTCATACGCCTTGCTCTGCCATACCTACATTTTGTTTCTACATCTTGTTATCTTGTTTTTTACATTCCAACCTCCTTACCTCTTTGCAACATAGGCAGTTTCTCAAAACGCCAACTTCATTATCTCTTTTGACCTTGCATATGTCCTTCACAACAGCTGCAGTTGTGAGGCCCCTCAGTCTAGATCGCTCACAATATGCCCATTTTCTTCCAGCCACTCCACAGCTGCATATCATCTGGGTCATAATAAACTATTTCCCACATGGCTAATTCCCTCAAGTATTGGATGCCTCTCTCCATGGTGGTCCACTTACTCGGATGACATATAAAACCTTCCTTGAAGGGATATGTGTCCCTCATGCCTGACAGAAGTCACCTCCAAAGGCTGAGAGTTTGTGTCCTTCCAATTGCCTTGTCAATGCCCACTTTCTTAGGCAAGGATCCCAGCTGCCTGGCCTCCTTCTCCTCTAATTCCACACTCTTGGCCCTGTTATCCCAACATCAGGGCAGCCAAGTAATAAAGTGCTCACCTGGATGGCAGCTGAAATCCTTTCGCATGTCTCATAGATCACTCAGGGATAAGGATCAGGTGATTATCACTGGCTCTGCCTCCTCCTCCTGTTCTTGTGATGGCCCTGGTTCATCATCATCTTTTACAATGCGAGGGGATTTTTTTGTATATTTATTCTTCTGTATGGGAGCAACTGACACGGTTGTGGATTGGTTCTCAGGTTCACCTGCAGTACCTGTCATAGGGGTCAGATTAGCTGCAGTGCCTGTTGCCAGAGTTGGAGTGGCTGTAGTGCCTGTTGCTGAGGTTGAAGTGGCTGCAGTGTCTGGTGGGGGTGTCAGAGCAGCTGCAGTGCTTGTTGTTTTGTTCTCAGATCCAGAGACCTCTTCTTTTTGAGGGTACTGCATAGTGGTGAGCAGGGCTCGGTAAGCATGGGCCGGTCCCCACCACTTTGCAGTGATCTGTGTCTCTCTTGAGTTACCAGGATGACAGCATACATATTCTAAACATTCTAGCTTCTTGGGATCCTGCACTTGTTAACGGATGAAGTTCCAAAACATCAGAGGTGCCCACTGTCCTAAGTACTTTCCCATGCTATCCTACACTCCCAGCCACTCATAACTCTCCAACCTTGGGGTAGATCTCCAAGTAATATTCAGAAATGGTTGCCTAACCCTAAACAAAACCTGAACAGCTTTCAGGAACACGACAGCTCCCAGCAGTGAGCCATTAGTGTGAACACTCCACAGATATTCAAAACTCCCCAAATTCTCAAACAGTGTTGCAAGTAGCCTGGAGAAGAGGGAGATGGAAGAAGGTATCTCCCACATGGGTTGGCTCTCTGCAGAGAAAAGGTAAAGGGTGTAATTGTTAACTCGTTCCTCTAGATGACGCCTGACGTGCACAGATAATGACCATGCTGAGTACAAATCTCAGATTACCAACGTCACTGCCTTCTATAATGAGGTGACTGGCTCAGTGAACAAGGAAAGAGCCATGGATGTTTGCCTTGATTTTAGCAAGGCCTTTTCTAACAGTCTTCCAAAATATCATTGTAGCAAAATTGTTGAGATAGAGCTTGGTAAGTGGGTGATAAAATGGACAGAAAACTGACTAGAACACTAGGCTCAAAGGTTATTGATAAGTAATATGTAATCTCACTAACAGAAGTAATATAAGTAATATGAAATCTCACCAACAGAAGATTGAAGGTGACATCCCTCAGTGGTCAGTACTAGAGTCAATATTGTTAGAAGTCTTAACAGCTTGATGATAGAGCAGAATGTGTTGTCAGCAAGAGTGAGGATTGTTAGGAAGTGATTGTCAGGATGCAGAACTGATGTTCATGTCTGAACTACATAATAGCATACTGGCAACTCCAAAATGTTCAATCTGTCTGTTCTAAGTGTTCCTTGCTGGTCATGTAATGCATTGCCCCCGCTTCAGTCTTCCATACCCAGCAACCTCATTCTTCTTTGGTCCTTCTGATGTTTGTGGTACTACCTGAACAATAGGTTTTGGTTATTTTCCTGATCTAGGCTGTTGCGATCAAGTGCAGGGCTGAGCAAAAGGGACCTCCAGACAGCACCAGTCACATGACTTGCACATGTTACTAATGCTTTTCCCATTTATTCACCCTCCTTTTCACTTCCGTTTCTCCTCTCTTTCTTTTTCCCATTCAGCTCCCAATTCCTAATTACCTTTTCCCATCAGTCTGTTTTGCTACATGCATTTCCAAATTCAGTATTTCTGACACCGATGCAATTTCATCCTTAAATGTTATCACTGGTCTGGGCACCTAAGTGCTGTTGGCTTTTCAAGACTTTACTCCCCAAAATGTTCCCAAAGTTCATCTCCAGTTATCTGTGAAGTTCGGTGATTTCTTACATGAGTATCATTTAACTTTATGAAATCCAGACATCTAAATGATGAATGTATATTTTTCCAGTCTCTCACACAGTTATGAAACACATGTCTGAAAGCTCTATTGTCACATCCATTAGCTCATCCTGTTCAGTTAGAAAACTGAGGAGGGCCTATTCATCAGCTACTTGCCTGCAGCACTAACATGAATGGTATCAGATTAGGAAACACTCAACACACTGAAACATAGGGCAGTTGTTCAGAGACACCTCATCAAGCTAGAAAACTGAGCAGACAGGAAACCCAGGAAGTTCGATCAAGACAAGTTCAAAGTCCTTCTACTGAAATGAAAACAAACAAAACTCAAAACCAACCCTGCAAAAAAAGAAAAAAAATCCCCTCATACACTGGGACTGTCTGAGGGCTGCCTGGCTAGAGAGGAAGTCTGTAGAAAAGGACATGGGGGGACCTCCTCACCAACAAGTTAAGAGGAATCAACAGTGTGCCCTAGCATCAAAGAAAGCCAGATGTATACTGGGCTGTATTAGCAGGAATGTAGCCGGCATTTAAAGGGAAATCGCTCTTCCCCTCTGTTCAGCAATTGTGAGCCCTTATTTGCATAATGTGTCTAATCTGGGCTACACAGGACCATAGAGACATTGACACACTGGAGATGGTCCAGAAGAAATTATCAAGATTTTCAGGGCACTGAATCATACAGCATATGTGAGAACTTGATAGTCTGAAGAATAAAAAAAAGGTGAAGGGTGGATCTTACCACTGCACTAAAATAGTACAAGGGGCAATGACCATAATTTGGTTATTGGATGCAAGGATATTTATTTACTTATTTATTTACTTCTTGGTATCATGAAGGTGGTAAAATACTGTAACAGGGATCATGAGAGGTTGTGGCATCTTAATTCTTGGAAATACTCAAATTCTGAAAGCCCATGGCCCTTAGAATTCCACTCTAAATTGGCCCTATTTGGAGCATAGGGTAGGACTAGATGACCATCAGAGATCTCTTCTCTTCTGTATCACTGTGACTCTGTAGTTCCCTCTGTGGGATAGTCAGAGTACTGCACTGGCAGGTGTAATTGGCACATGCTTCAGTCCAGAAATGTTTTATTGGATTTGTCGCTCCCCTCCCCATAAAGCTACATCCCAATCCTAAACCTATCATTCAAAGTCAACCTCCTCTTAAGATGCTTGTTAATGTAAGAATATGAACTATTTAGAATAATATCTTTGCTTATGCATGGAATAAGACCCGAGACTGGAGGCAGAAAGCTCTTTTACTTCCTGACTCCCAGGAGAGAGAAATTAATTTCTTAAAATCATGGAGGACTTATTGTGAACTTTGGTGGTGTGTGTCTCCTTGCAGTGGAAATAATGTTGTACAAAGAATTTTCTTATGCTGAAGAGGGACATTTGTAGGCAAGGATTAATGGGTTGAGGATCATTCCCAGAGCTACTGAGATCCTTTCTTCAAAAAGACTGTCTTGTACTGTGTTCTGTGGCTGAGAAGGTGATTATAACAGAAGCCTCACCTTCTTTTTCCCCTTGAGGTACAGCCCACTCAGCTCTATGTACTCATCCTGGTGGAGCACTGTATGTATCATTAATGCATAAAAATCTTTGGGTTTTTTTTTGTTCAATGGGCTTTACGTGGATGGAAAGGCTCAGTTTCTAGCCTTTCTCTGCCCACTTCCCTCCTCTGACAAACTGAGGACAGTGAGAGCAGCAGGCAGGGAGCAGGAAAAGGAAGCTTAGAAATATATGAAAGGTAAGGATAGCTGGTTTATAAGGATATCTGGTTAATGGTTCCTGTTCAGGGGAAGGATTGGGCCTACAATGTTATTCATGTTTATAAGTTTGCTAGTGGTGTTTCTGTGGGTGCTGGTGAAGGCACTGCTTTCTGAATGTTTGTTTCTGTGGTTGGCCATATGTGTACTCTGGGGGAGGGAACACCAAAGGTGACAGGTTTCAGACTTTTTTAACAGAGAAGTTATGGGTATGATGGCCAGTTGAGAGAGGAGTGTTTTGGGGGCAGTGTGACGTGCTTGTCTTTTATTGTTCAGGACTTTGGAGTTTTAGACAAAAGCAAATATTTAAGGTACATTTTACATTATTCTTCTTTCCTTCTTCTCTCCAAAGGCTCAACAAATTTGGACTCAATGAAGAAACTCGCCGGGAGCTGGCTCACCTAAATAAAATCAAGCCCAGCCTGAAAATTAGGCACATCTGTTAAACAGGATATTTTTCAGACTAGGTGTCAGGCCTCATGGCTCTGACACTAGTGTAGCATATAGGTTAAAATTTAAGAAGAGACCAAATAAATGTTTGTTCCATTTTAAGGATTCTGCTTTAATGCCAGTAACAATACTGAGCATGTGAGGCCTTGACTGGCCACACAGTCTCAGAGCAAGTTATCCTCAGGACAATAGGATCTGAATTTTATCCAAATGCAGTTCAAATAGATCCCCCATCACAATCATATCTGAGTGGAGAAGGAATTAGAGTGCAGAAGGAAAAAGGGCAGAGATGCATCAAGCACTGAAAATGTGGATGAGACAAGGAATTTCCTTCTTTCATACTCCAGTGATTTCGGTTTCAGTGGGCATGTGTCAGAGGCCAAGAGAAATATTTCTTCACTTTCCATGGCTCCTTCATAAGGATTTGTGTACTCATGGTGCTTTCTGTATGTTTCTCTGATTTCACAGTTCTCAAGAGCATAATTTCTGTCTCCATTTTGACTATATATTTGTCAAGGTTGATGTTTATACCACTATTACAGAATGCAATTATAGTTCCTTTTGCACATCATGCCTTCCTGTAGTCTGTGTTAATCTCAGACTGTTGTCGAGTGATCAGCACCAGGATAGTTCCCAAGAACAGTTCCTTTGGCTGAGCTAGTGTCGTGGTTTAGGCCTGATTGGCAGCCAACCACAATGCAGCAGCTCTCTCTCCCTTCCCCTCCGGCAATGAGAAGGGACAGAAAGCCAGGCTTGGGGTTCAAGATAGGACTGGGATGGGGGAAAATCACCCTTTTATGATCACGAGGAAAAGGCAGACTCGTTAGGGGAAGAAAAAAAGAACATATATTTATTACAGACACTAACAACACATAACAGAGTAAGACAGTGAGAAGCATTGCCACATCTTGAGAACACCTTCCCCCCACCCCTCCCTTCTTCCCAGGCTCAGCTCTGCTCCCGATATCTCTACCTCCTCCCCCAGTGGCGCAGGGGCAGGGAATGGGGGGTGCAGTCAGTGCTGCCACTTCCTTCATGTTCGGTGAGGGGAGTGTCCAAAACTTGTTCCCCCTGCTCCATCATGGTCCCCCTCTCACAGGAGACAGTCCTCCACAAACTTTCTCCGACTTGAATTCCTCCCACGGGCCGCAGCGTTCCCCACACTGCTCCGTCATGGGTCACTAACTTCCTCCGACTGGATTCTCTCCCACGGCTGCAGCCCTTCCCGAGCTGCTCTGGCGTGGGACTCTCCCGCATGCTGCAATCCTCCCGGCACTGAATTACAGCAGCGGGGCTACCTTTTCCCATGAGACCCCGGCCTTCTTCGGGCACAGAACCTTGATTATCTGAGCATGAGCAACAGGCCATAAATCAATGTCTGCTCCACCGTAGATCTTCATGGGTGGCAGGGGGGACCGCCTTGCCGTCTCACCACAGGATACAGGGGGGTCTCTGCTCCGGCACACCTCCCCTCCCCCTTTCTTCCTCCATTCCTCCACTGACCTTGGTGTTCATGCAGCTGCAGCAACTCCTCCTCACAAGTCCCACTGCCCGTCACCATGTCCCTTCTTAAATACGTTATCGCAGAGGCGCAGCTGATTGGCTCAATTTTCCAAACAGAAGTGGAGCTGACTTGGAGCTGGGGGAGCTTCGAGAAGCTTCTCACAGGGGGCCGCCCCGATAGCCCCCTCCCCTGCCACCAAAAATCTCCACCTCTCACTCAACCCAGGACAGCTAGAAAGACTTTTCCACCCTTCTGTGGACCCCCTGGGCTTTCTCAAGAAAATTATGTAGGTGCCTAGATGCCCAGAGAAAAGTTGACTCCCAAGGTCCAGAACAGGACTGTGAGAGATATTGGAGGAATTAAACTATTTCCACATGAATTGGAAGCTTTTCTTTTTCTGCCATGATATTGATTTGTGTGTTGTAGGGTTATATTTGTGAAGCATTCCTAAAACAAGAAATGCAGATTCATGGCATGCAGAGAAGAACATTTGTATCCATTATAGTGTAGAGAGGTTGAGAGGTTTGGGCCAACTAGCTGTACCAAAAGATTTATGTGGGAGACATCACCCCAAAGTAATCAGCATCCAGAAAGAAGCTGAAGAGGGAGGGAAAAGTGATGAGCAGTTGTTGTTGTTTGAGCCTACTCAGCAGCTAAATGCCACGCAGTTGCTCACCCACCCTCCCCCCACTTGGGAATGGGGAGGGAATCAGAGGGGCAAAGGGAGGCTTGCGGGTTGAGATAAAAACAGTTTAATAACAGTAACAGAATAATACGGTGACAGCAGTATCAACAGGTAATGTACAATACTGCTGCTCACCACCCGCCGACCGACACCCACCTGCTCCAGGCTAGCAATCCCAAACACAAAGGCCCCACAGCCACACTCCAGAAAGTGAGAACACCTCTGGAACCACTCCTGACTTTATATAGTGAGCACAGTGTCACATGACATGGACTATCGGCCAATCCGGGCCCAGCCCTCCAGCTGTGCTCCCCCCGCCCCCGCACAGAGGTGAGGGCACTAGGACTTGGGGAGCCCCTGGGGTCCCAGTGTGCTGCAGCACTCCTCCCGCTGCCAAACCAACGGGAGCTCTAGTCCATCCCCAACCAGGACAGCAGTGTTGTGTAGGAGCCACCTACAAAGTGTGTGAGAAGGGAGAAGTTCCTGAAAAGTCTTCTGTAAACTGAAAGAAAGTGCTGGGCTCTTGCTAGTTGTCCACTCTTCTGAAGGGTAAAAAAGTGAAATGTGTGTACAAATCTGCTAGAGCTAGAGGAAGAGGAAATCCAGGAGCAGAGTATGGAGAGGATCATGTACATGGATAAAGAGTAGGGAGGAGTGGAAACTAGGTGAGAAGGAAAAGCTAACAGTTATAAGCAACACAAAGCACAGTAAGAGAAAGGTGCAGGGAGACAAAATGGGACATGGCTAGCAGACGTAGTTCATGGAGTCAAGCAGCTCTGAAAAATTAGTCACAGCAGTCAGGTTAGGTCAGCTTCACTAGGCCTTGATCTCAGCAAGGCTTGACATCTTTAACTACCTGTCAATACAGGAGGGGAAAACCGGTCAGCTGTCCCAGCATGCAGGAAGCAGTAAATCAAAAAGGGTTGTAACAACTGGAGAGGTTTCTGCAATCTCCACATAGCTTCTTCCCACATGTCAGTCAGAAAAGGGGAAATCACAACCCTGCATCTTCTGGTTTGGGGCACTTAGGAGCACCACCACTGCTCTTAGAGTGACCAAATGATTGACGCCTGTTTGGAGGGTTCTCTACAAGAGGAATAATGGGACTTGACTTTCTTCTAGATCCTTATTTATGTGGAAAAACATAACCAAAAGAAAGTCCCCAGCCCTTGTGGTGGGTTGACCCTGGCTAGCTGCCAGACACCCAGCCACTCTCTCAATCTCCCTCCTCAACAGGACAGAGGGAGAAAATGAGATGAAAAAGCTTGTGGGTCAAGATAAAGATAGGGAGATCACTTACCAATTACCATCATGGGCAGAAGAGACTTGATTTGGGAAAAAATAATTTAATTAATTTCTAATTAAAATAGGATTCAGTGGTGTGAAACAAAGAACACCTTCACTCCCACATTGGGCAGCCCTGGGGAGTGCCAGCAGCCACAGCGGGCAAACAAGCCATGGTGCATCAGCTGGGGCATGGCACAGCAATGTGCATGGCAGCTTACATGGAAGGGCACGTAGGATGGGCATCTCTTGCAAGTAGGGGCATTCCACTGGCCAGCTGGGGAGGCTTCAAGTTGTCATAACCCAGCAACAGGGCAGCGTTTTGTGACCATCCGCACAGGCCAAGGGCGCTCACCCTAGCCAGCCCTCAGGGCAGGATGGCGGGCACTCGGCTGAAAGCAAAGGCTGCAGCTCCGGCTGGGGGTCCGCACCATCTGCCCCATCAGCGGCCGATGCCTCCACCCAGACCGAGCTGCTGAAGGGAGAGGCTGCGGTGCAGGTCGCGGGCTGCAGGGAGTGTCCAGACCTTTCTTCTAGGGCAGGGAGAAGCAGCAGAGCTGCTTGCAAAAGGAGTGCCTGGAGGGGACCTCCTGCAGCCCGCGGGCTGAGGTGCAGGAGGTGGTGAGAAGGCTGCGTAGCATCAGAGAGGCTGAGAAGGAGTTAGATAGCTGGTTCCAAGTGCAGTCTGCAGTGGACCCACAGCCCACGGCCACACAGCCAAAAACTCCCCCACACGGGGGAGGGGGCAATACTGCAGCAGAATGGAAGCTTGGAATGGCAAGGACCTGCAGGAGGAAGAGGCTTCCCTCAGAACCTGAGGTGACCTTGCAGAAACACTTCACCACTTTGCAGACTGAAGAAGGGCCTGTCACATCAGGAGAGATGCTGGAGCTAAGGCAATCCGGTGTGCTCCTCATGTAACAACCAGAGCAACTAAGAAATGGCAAAGGGTGATAGTTGTAGGCGACTCTCCCCTGAGAGGTACAGGGGCACCATCTGCCCACCTGACACACTCTCTGGAGACGGGTGCTGCTTACTGGGGGCCCGTGTCAGGGATGTCACCAAGAGGCTGCCGAGCCTCGTGAAGTCCAGTGACATCCACTGCTGGTGTTTCACACCGGCAGCAGCAATACAGCCAGGAGCAGTCTGAGGAGTAGCAAGAAGGATTACCATTTTATGATTCTGTCATTATATGATTACAGAGCCCAGGGACCTACAGTGAGGGACCCTGGAGCACAGGTAGTTTTTCAATCAATCCTCCTAGTCAAAGGTAAAGGGTTTGAAAGGGCCAGTCGAATCTGGCAAATCAACAATTGGTTACAGGACTAGTGCAACAACCAGGGTTCAGCTACTTAGGCCATAGGACTCGCTCTGAGAAACCTGGTTTGCTGGGGGCTGACAGGGTCCATCTCTCAATGAAGGGAAGAGCATCTTTGGCCATATGCTTACCAAGCTGGTGAAGAGGGCTTTACATTAAAGTTGCCAGCAGAGGGGAACCTCAATCCATCCCACTCCTACCAGCTGGATGCCAGTGTCAGCAATAGGTGCCCAGAGACTGGAGAGGGGTCACAGGTCAGCAGGAGAGCACTTTAGAAGCAGCACTAATTAATTTCAGCCAGTGAGCTTCACTGGGGGGCCCAACTTATATGGCTCTATGCAAATGTATGTAGCATGCACATGCCTGCAGGGCTGTGATCTTATTGGCATCACAGAGACCTGGTGGGATGGCTCCTATGACTGGAGTATTGGAATGGAAGGATACAGGTGCTTTAGGAAGGACAGGCAGGGGAGACAAGGAGAGGAAGGTGTCCTCTATGTCAGTGACCAGCTGGAGTGCAGGGACCTCTGTTTGGGGATGGATGAGAAACCAATCAAGAGTTTATGGGTCAGGATTAAAGGGAGGGCAGGTACAGGTGACATTATAGTGGGGTCTCTTACAGTCCACCCAACCAGAAAGGCCGATTGCAAAAGTCCCTCTATAGACAGAAGCAGCCTCACATTCACAAGCCCTGGTCCTCATGGGAAACTTCAACCACCCAATATCTGTTGGAGGGATAGCACACCAGGGCACAAGCAATCCAGGAAGTTCCTGG